ATCTAATTTTAACAAACAAACCCATATATATTAGACAGGAGCCCCAGGGAGACCAGAGATCCTGAACCTGAGGAAATCTAGACTTGCTTTATTTAGGGCTTTAGCATTGCAGAGATACTCTAGGCACTAGGGAAAATAATATGGTTCAGGGACTGTGAGACAGGCTAGGGGTGCAGCTTCTAATGGTTGTGGGTACTGATGATATTCTAGCAGTTCAGTTTTTCTATTTCTGACACTCACCACCAGGGACATTGGCAGTTTTCAAAGTGCTTCATGACAATAAGATGTTCTGACCCCATGGAATTTGGCCTACCCCTGTGTCAAGTGATATTTCATGACTCCTGACACTCAAATGTATTTCTGTGATTATAGCTCCTGGTTAAATGTCGCCACATATGACTTAAACTGTGACAGTAATGCTCACCCACTGATGCTGATCTGTCCGCCACTGATGAGGGAGAGTTGTTAGGAAAATGTTACGGGTCATCACATGTCCATTATACATTACCGCTGACAGGATTTGATAGTTTGAAATGTTCAACTAGACAGCAGGGATATTGTAGTTTAATTTGTTTCCTTTTGAAGATCGTATCCTTTATTGTAAGGCTGGATTCAAAGAAGGAATATTTCCTTTGAGCTGATTATGCTGTTTGTTTTCTGACACTTTGTCAGTCACATGCTTGTCTTTATTGAACTTAGGTTGGTAGGTTTGGTGTTTAACACCGCTCTCATCAATATTCCAGCTATATGGCAGCGGTCTGTAAATACTTGAGTCTGGACCAGACAATCCAGTGATCAACAGCTCGAGTGTTGATCTACAAAATTGAGATACAATGACGTGTCGACCAAGTCAGCGAGCCTGACCACCTAATCCCGTTAATCGCCTCTAGCAACAAGCATGGGTTACTGAAGACCAATTCTAACCCAGATCATGACAGGTTGAAGAAGTAAGGAGGTAGCATTTCTGTGACTTTGTTCAATAATGCAATTGGTAATATTGATATTAATAAGGGTGTACTGTGAGTTATCTAATCTGGACCAAACAGTCCAATGATTGACAATTTTATCGACAATTCATGCTGTTGATATGCCACTAGACTAACAACTAGTCTCTGAAATGAACATATTTTACTGAAAAAAGTTCATAGTAAAAAAAAATATATATAATGAAAAGGAGCCCTGAGACTTTCTTCATTTTCAGAAGCTGAGGAAATATAGACTTGCCACATTTTCTAGACTTGTGTGGGCTTTCTTGGATATATTTGCTTCAGGGTCTGTACGAGAGACTAATATGCCACCAACCAAGACACTTAGCCTACCGTCACCCACAGCAGTAAATCCCCAGTTATGATAAGGTTGCTAGGGGACCAGTTATCACTGTTTCTGAATTTGATCATATCAAAGAACCCTGCTTCACTATCAATTAAGCCTGTGCCGTAATGTCCCCCTGTTGTCAAGATATTGTGTCTCCCTATGTTATGAGAAATTCCCAGGAGCCATTCGCTACCTATCTTAGTTTTGAAAGTGACACCACTATCTCCATTTCTTTGTATCAGTGGGGCGGTAGGGTAGCCTAGTGGTTAAAGCATTCGCTGGTCATGCCGAAGACCCGGGTTCCATTCCCCACATGGGTACAATGTGTGAAGCCCATTTCTGGTGTCCCCTGCCGTGATGTTGCTGGAATATTGCTAAAAGCGGCGTAAATCCAAACTCAGTCAGTCAGTTGTATCAGTGGGGCGTTAGGGTAGCCTAGTGGTTAAAGCATTCGCTGGTCATGCCAAAGACCCGGGTTCCATTCCCCACATGGGTACAATGTGTGAAGCCCATTTCTGGTGATGTTGCTGCAATATTGCTAAAGCAGCATAAACCTAAAATCTCACTCACTCACTCTTTGAATCAGTAATTTAGGAGGGTTTTTTTCTAATGTTTTTAATTTCAATCCCATTTTAAAGTGACATCCTGTTCAAATCAGTCTGAAATTGAATTCAGGAAAGTGAACGTGTCCATCATGTACAGCGGGGGAAATCAGAAATGGGTTTCACACATTGTGAATCAAACCCAGGCCTTTGGAGTGACGAGCAAATGCTTTAACCACTAGGCTACCCCATGTCTCTTTCTCACTCAGAAACCAACAATAACTCTATGATATATAAGCTTCAAATCCATTTTTGCCCTTGATCTGATAAACAGGAAGCTGCATTTGATGCCATTTACAAATAATGTGTACCAGAGAAAACATAATAGCCCTTGTTAAAAGGCTGGCTTCATTCATGTAGCCTGTAACATCAGCTCATCCGCAATCCCAGCACCTGAAATAGCTTTCACAGCTCGACATCAGGTCAGGTGACAGGTATTAGCGGCAACTAAGGCCATCGACACTATCGGCACTATCGGAACACGCTCCTAACGCTCCTGATTGTAAAATTGTCATCGTATTGTGAAATGCCATTATGTGTTACACATGTTGAATGTTGAACAAAAATTTGAAAGGTAAAACTATATTTAATCCTACTTCATGAAATATTCATTTAAGTTGTGATGTCATCCTGACAGTTTGTCATTTGAGTAATTTTGAGCATCATGTATTTGTGATAAAAAGCAAATTACTTTTGTATTATGTAATCATATCTGGATATGATGACAGTAGATCGTTCGCTTTATTTTTAATTTAGATAGAGACTTTATGATCTAAAAATAACTTTATTTTGACTTTATTTAGAAAAATGTCATTCTTTACTAACTTTGAAATATGCCAAAACATTTTTTCAAAATTTCTCTCGGCAGTGTTTTCAGTTGATAATTCTAACAAGAATTAGCTACTTACTCATTAAACATGTTAAACTTGACATGAATTCGAGAAGACTGAAGTTTCAGAGTGAAAGGTGAAATTGTAAACTGGCTTGTCAATGGAAAATTCTCACACGTACTAGAAACACCCAGACAGACGCATGTGTGCAGCAAGCCTTCACTTCTGTAACATACACGCAAGGCCACATGTAAACATTTCAAACTTGCCCTTTAAAGTTTCTTTCAAAGTTGTTGAAGTTAATAAAGAATCTTGTCCTTTGGTATACTTTGAAGATTGGATGTAGGTATTCAAACTTGTTTAATTGTTTGACTCTAAACAAAACGCCCCCTTCTAGCCACAGTATCAAGGTGCTGGAAAAACACTTGAAGTTGGAAGTAGTTGTACTTCAAGTAGTATAAAGTTAAAGGCAAACTGATAGCTATGTCCAAATCCTCACCATACTGTGGTCAGTTTGGTCATGACGCCCTAGACTACCAACTTGAGGGTCAAAGAGTGTCTCCAAGGTCAAGCTCCTTTGTAAACGAAGACTTGTTGATTTTTACGACATGTTCCGCCAGCCTGTTGGCAGAGCCTTGAGTCCTGTCAACAGCAGGACATTTCTCAAGCCGATTCAAAGCGGTGATCGTGGTTGGAACACAGTGTGGTAATGGCAAACAGGAAATCTTTTTTGCATCTCTGTCGTGATTTCAAACCTATTATTTACAATTTGTTGAACATGTGTTGTTTTTCACGGCATGTCTGTGATGAAGAAAATTAGAAGGTTATATATACTACACAACTTATGTTAGGGATGCTGAAATAGTTGACAAAAACTGAATGAGCTCAAGTATTACTATTAGTTGAAATAGCCACCTTTGTAGTGTAGGAAATTGAGCATTATCCTGGCGAGAGGGAGGTCAGTGGTTCGATGCCAAGGATATATTATACCAAAAGATGTTGAAAGATGGTGCTTGTTGTTACCTTGCCTCGTGTCCCTCATTACTGGGATGGAACAAGATGTGAGTGCTTCTGATACTGCAGCAATGTATCTCAGTGGGCTAGAACTGTTATACCAACATTAGTTCAGATTAGTCACTAGTGCAGCAGCCCATAGTCTGTCCCAACCTGGAGTTGTGTGAGTGAGTGAATGAGGGAGAGAGTGAGTGAGTGAGTTTTAATATCAGTAACCCAGAGTGATGCAGTTCTGTAAATCTTACCACTTTGGTGAAATGGAATTTCGAAAACATTGATCTTCATCAAAAGTTGAATAGTATAGATGTGCAGCTGTTTTCATTGTGCATGTTTGTGTTGGATAAGAATGGGTTTTACAGGCCATTATGTGAATTTCTTCCTTTGTTCCATTTTGTGACACTGGGTTGATTAGCTGAGACTTCATGTTGACTTGTTGAGAGTTTGAGCAGATTATGGTTTTAAGAAGTGGGTATTAGCTCCCTTTATAAAAGGTTTGGGCAATCAATGGATTATACAGTTTGGCAAGTTTATTTAATGGTTTCTGTGATTTGAATATGGTGTGTCAGTGTTAAATATTTGCACTGTTGCAAGGTATCCTTGAATGCATTTGTCAGATTATAGGGTTTAGGATCTTGACACTGTCATCTCCTAAATGGAGAACATAAAAAAGTATTAACCTCAAACCATCATTCGCTAGTATAATTTTAAAGCAGGTCTTTGGGGTGATATGGGAGATTGAGAACTTGAGGAAATGTAGACTTGCTTCGATTAGGGCTTTAGCACTGCAGAGAGAGCTTGACGGTGAAGGAAACTAATGGGGTTCAGGGACTGTGAGATAGATTAACTGCTAGGCAAAGAGAAATGTTTGCAGACTCAGATTGTAGACTAGTAAAAGACACAGATTATAGTAAATACGGTTTCCTTCCATATTCTCCATTGAGGCTGGGACACCAGCACGATTATCAGAAAAGTGTTCCCGAAAGGGACTGTTGCAGTACACGCTTTGGAAGTTTGTTCAAATGAACACGTGTAACTGTCTAGCTGTCGTACCTTTATATTGACAAAAGATACATATTTGCTCAAGTTCGTATTGTGGATTGAACTAACCCCCAGAATTAGAAAATATTTTCTTACACTAACAACAATAGTGATATAAATGGTAAAATAATAAAATAAAATAAAATAAAATAAAATAAAATAATGGTATGATAAAACAAACTTTGGAATTGTAAAATTAAACCTGGACTTCCTCTTATGGTTTTAATTGTGTTTTAGAACAGTGAGAGAACTATCAACTGTAAAGATGTATCATGGATTTATTGGCAGACTGACTGTTATTGAACATAAGCAGCAAACATAGATTGTAGAAAAAGGTATTCAATAATCTGAAGGTCAAAATGGGATCAGGGAATCATGCCATTTGCAGCAAGTATTTATATTTGCTTGGCCACACGAGGACAGCTGAACAGAATACATACATCAGACACCAGACAGACTGATGTGAATAATACAGTGTGAGTCAAGCCATTACCTGTCTGATAGGCCTTAGTTCAGTGGAAGAACAATGGCTCCATGTTCATCTCAAATGGAGGGTTATGTCTTTTTGATTGGGTAGTACCTTGCCCCATCGTCTACAGCAGCAGGCTCCATGTCTTACTACTGACATGATTTACCAATGCATCGCAATGTCCTGATGATGCATGTAATAGGGCTGCAACGAATACACTATGAGGCGAATGTGATATGTTTTCTGAACGTGTAGTGACGAATACCAATATTTATTAATGGATAATTTAACATATGTTTTATTTGGGATTACACTTTCTTAGTAAAGTACATATTCTAGTACTTAAATTGTTGGGCTGAGTCCCATCTGGGATTCGAACCCAAACCCCCAGAATTAGGCCAGTGTTCACGAATAGCGTCTGACCTTCTGACAAATCCGGCAGATTCGCCAACGGTCCGATAGAAGTCTAAAACCCGCCGGCCCCAGTGTCTGACTTATATTTCACAATGACTTTGACTGAAGTTGTTATATGTGACATGTGACACTTGTTTGCTGTTTATAATCTTATGTTTCTTAATAATTTCAATGCCAATTATAAGAAATGTTCAATCTGAAATGTGTGTTTAATTTCATTCTATGGGTCCTGTGAATTTTCAATGGGTCAGACAGACATCTGAAACTTGCAGGACCCAATTTCCTGTTACCTTGAAACACCATTCGTGAACACTGTTAGGCACCTAATCGCCAGCACACAGTCAGCCGTCTAACCCGCTCAGCCACTGCGACTTCCACAAAAATGGAAGTCGAACAACTGGTAGTCAAGACTGTAGACTTAGTGTATACCTCTGATAAGTGTAAATTGGCAAGTCTCCCACGGCCGAAAGCTATGGTTAGACTTTACTACAAAAGTGTAGTCCCAAATATAACATAGGTTACATTTGACCACTTTCTAAATGACATTGTGTAATCAATGGATACTTTGTTTAATATCAAGCAGTTAAAATAGCAAACATGCCATGTAATACTTTAAGTTGAAATATTGAAATGATATTGTCTTTAAAAAAAATAACAATGCTGCTTACATGAAACTTGAATTGACTTCATGAAGGAATACGGATCACAGAATACGCGTGTGAATCTAAACAGAACTAGCAATTATGCACCCACCCTTGTAATCTTTTTGGCCTATATCAAATGAAAAGTAGTATTTAGGATACATTGCACTGTTAAAACACTGATTGGTAACTTCATTGAATTAATTCAGGGCTGGCATGGGTGGCCTAGTCCTTCGAGGCACTGCAATTAGCTGTGCAGAGTTGCCTCCCTTTTGGCATGCAAGAAACGTTAGATTGTGAATTAGGATCCTTGTTTCTAGATTTGTCAGCTCTGTTCTCAAAGATTTTTAAAAATTTGTAAACGTAAGAGAACTACATCATTTTGGGCTTTCATCCCACATTAAGTGAGTGAGTGAGTTTAGCTTAGTTTACGCCATACTCAGCAATATTCCAGCTATATGGCGGCTGTCTGTAAATCGAGTCTGGACCAGACAATCCAGTGATCAACAGCATGAGCATCGATCTACGCAATTGGAAACCGATGACGTGTCAACCAAGCTAGCGAGCCTGACCGCTCTTACGACAAGCATGGGTTGTAACTGAAGGGTACATTCTAACCCGGACCTTCACGGGTCACATTAAGCTGACTTGATATAACTTGCATTAGTACTGCTAAATGTGATATGAACTCAACTGTTCTCAAACCTGCAACCTTTCACCATGCTTTAAAAACAGAAAAAGAAACAAGGTTTGATTTCAAAATATGCTTTTGTTGTAAACATCTGTTTTATATGTGAAGAAATATACTTGGAGGAATTTTGGGTTCTTTCTTAAGCTAATCAGCTTCATTTTATGTTTCACTGAAGGGAATCTTTGAGAAAACAATGCTGACATTTTATGATTAAATACTTGAGATGTAATGTGAAAAGTTGAACATGGCTATGATCAGAGTGATTACTTTCTTGATGCATGCAGAAGGCTGGAATTGTTCACTGGACAATTTCCAAGATTTGAAGGCAGGAATTTTCTTGATTAAACATTTTATCCCTTGAATGACATTGTCAAAATATTAGCAAGTGGAAACTTGCTTAATACCTGGTTGTCAGAGGCTTCTCTATGCTGATTTATGAGAGCCTTTACATGTCAGATTTATAAAAGATTTTGATGATGTTATCCTCATACAGATTCCAGTTATGAACTGATCCCAAGCAATTTGTGTTGGACGTCAAGTCCACTTATTGGATCAAAATCTTTCTTTCCATTATCATAATCACTGACAAATACAGACATTTATGGAAAATAAATCAGAATAGAATAGAATGCATGAATCAGTTTCAGTACAGAATTGATCCCCATCAACCTCGTCGTCAAGGCCAATTATTGGATCAGATTCTTTGTTTTCTTTGATATCATGCACCTTGTCACTATGGATCATTTCTCAGTATATCAACCACTGGTTTTCTTGTACAGTCACTGGTGAAGTGATTAAGCATTTGCTCATCGTGCGGAAGACCTGGGTTGGATTCCCCAATGTGTGAAGGCCATTTCTGGGACATTTACTCACCACAAAGGGGCGGAGGGGTAGTCTAGTGGTTAAAGTGTAATTCCTTACATGGGTACAATGTGTGAAGCCCATTTCTGGTGTCCCCTGCCGTGATATTGCTGGAATATAGCTAAAAGTGATGTAACACACTCACTCACTCACTCACTCACTCACTCACTCACTCACTCACTCACTCACTCACTCACTCACTCACTCACTCACTCACTCACTCACTCACTCACTCACTCACTCACACTCACTCACTCACTCACTCACTCACTCACTGTATTACAGAGACAAGAACTGATACCAGGTTGTCATAACCCTGTCCACAATCACCACATTTATCATGAATCATTGACAAGTACAGGCTCTATGAATGTTGTATTTTGTGCAAATCGCAAAAATTAATCAAAATAGAATAAAACGCATCAATCAATTTCACGTCACCATCGTCGTCTTTGTGCGAGACTCATTGATTGTGACTTCAGTCAGCCCGTCACCAAAAGCTGAATGGACAATCCAAGTGGGAATATTTCTATCTTCCGCCTCCCTCATGCCTGTCAGAACAGATTAAGACTAGATTCAGTCCTCTGGTCCTAACATATGGAATATTTGGCGCATTAATTTAAATCTCCAATTCAAAATAATCCCAGACTAATACAATGGGGTCCGATTTAGTCAGTGTCTGGAACTTTCATACCATTTTCATTTCAAACAAGCCTTAAACAATATGACATGTAGTTTTGACACAATGCGGGTGCAGGGTGACCTAGAATATTCTGTATAATTCACAAAGAGATGTTTATGTGCATAATACATGTTAGATATCAAAGTGTTTAGTGTCCCAATAGACTAACAGGGTTTGTGCTTTTGCTGTCAACATTCCCTGAATGACTTGAAAAATATTTGCAAATGGTATGGAAATGAATGCACAATGGTTTTAGAAATAATTCCCAGAATATATTTGTCAAGTCTGTAAAATGGAAAGTCATGAAAACAGTGTACATTTCCTGTTAAGCTTATTTGAGACTCTCCTTGAGTGAATTTTCATTTGCTTATATTTTCCATTATGTTGATTTACAATGTATATGATACTCGACGTAGGGAAAAGCTACCATTCATTGATGTGGTTCTCTGAATGTAAAAATGTATTCAAAACAGATTCCCTCTCCATTGATGCCTACCTGTTTTGTTTTTGTTTGGTTGTTATTTAACACTGCACTCAGCAATATTCCAGCTAAATGAACCAGACAATCCAGTGATCAACATCATGAGCATCAATCTACACAATTTGGATACGATTTGGAGTTAAGAGCAATGAAAAATGACATGTGGAGATAATGACCACGTCATTAATTATGTGCAAATATTTAGCATTTAAGAAAAAAAATGTACAATTTTAAAGCTTGTTTATTATTTATTTGACCTGTTTCATGTCCGTGTACAAGTATGATATGATATGCAAAACAACCACTTTCATTGATACTTTCAGCATTTACAGATTACTGTCTACTTGATAGAGTAAGTGAAATAGAAACAATTTATTTATATTTAAAAATAAATAAATTATGCTTGCATCTTAGGAAACACAATGTGGAATGTGGACTGGTCAGCTGGCAGAGGATCACTGGTCAGTTTATTGATCAGTGACCAGTCCTACAGATCTCTATGACTTCATCCCTCAAGGCTTAAGCTAATATAATGAGTTGTTAGGGACATATGACCAGACTTGCTTCAGCATCATCAACTTCGTAAAGGTCACATTGTGGGGAAATGTATTCCTAGTTTGTATCCAGGCACAGCTGAACAAGAAATTGTGGTATTTATTTTTAATTTACAAAGGGTCTAATTTAATTTTTAAAAAGAGATTTGGTGATTTCCTTTCCCCAAATAACACTAAACACTTTCAAACTTTTCTGGAATGGTACACATAAAAAAGAATATCATGTACTGAGTGTCATGGCAACAGGTAATATTTTCCATGATGGTGATATGCTATTGATTGTATGTATAATTAACGAATTGTGAGACATGTTGGACAATCAAGCACCACATATGCTTTGTTGATGTTGACCCATGGTTTTTTAGTAATATTTTGTTTTGGGTGTGGGGTATGCAAGTGGTTAAAGCGTTCACTCGTCACACCGAAGACCCGGGTTTGATTCCCTACATGGGTACTATGTGTGAAGCCCATTTCTGTGTCCCCACTGTGATGTTGCTGGAATATTGCTAACAGCGGCGTAAAACCATACTCACTCAGTAACATACTCATGCATGTGTGTAACCGAAATGGAAACTTACGATCACATGGATCATTGGGGGCACCTTCACTCAATCAGCTTTAACCCTGTGATAAAACTGGACACAGAAGTATTAAACCTTCTCATTTGTGATTTTATTCGCGACCATCAATATTTAGCCATATTAACCAGTGTATACGAGAAGTCTTGTCTAAACTTGTCATGAAGAAGGACTTCCTGTTGATGTTTTACCTGTGTTATATATTGATTATTCCACTCAGCTTACCTGTAAAAACGTTTCAATCAATCATCAGACAATTGTCAGATTTCTTTAATGAGCAAATATTACTGCAAAGACTTGTCTTACCATTATATTGGAATACTGCAAATCATAAATATTGCAGTACTGTTTCTGTGTTCTGGTATTTTGGGTAAAACATACTGAGAGAAACAAATAAGTGTTCCTTTAATATTTACCAGTTTTCATCACCAGCTTTGAATAGCTCTGTGGGAGGAAATCTGAGAATAATTAAAGGAACATTGCCATGAAGTGGTGTCCTATGTTTGTTTCCCTGTATCTGACCAGTTTATTTTAGTTTTGTTTTTTGTTTAAAGTGACATGTTCAGAGGCCCAGATAAGCTGCGTATCCAGGTAAAATACGCATAGAAAATTTCCAATTATGCATTGAAAAATAATTGTTGCGTACCTATTACGAATTTAAAATGTTAGATAGATGTTTAAAACAAATGCGTACGGAATATATTTATAAAAATCGCTTGCGTAATGAAAAAGACATGGATTGCTATCAAGTTGTACTGTTAGTATAGGACTAGTGTTGTACCGTCAGTATAGGATGAGGGATTTTTTATGAAATCATTTCCATTATATTTAAGTTGGTTTTGATTAGGTATGACATAAGGCAGAACATACCTGCTAAGTAAACTTACTCAATGACATAATACTTAGGTGAGTAAAATGACTGAAATACGCACATATTTGAAAGCAGTGGTTAACGGAAATGAAATACCCACTCAACATTCATAATACCCACTCCAAAAAAACACAGTGGGTACAGTACCCACATGAGCTAAATCTTATCTGGAGCTCTACATGTTTACTGGAATTCATTCACAAATAAGGTTTTCCTTCCAAACTTTTTGACAGACGCAGAAACAGAATTGAGTTTTTCTCTCGTAGCTGTGGTGATCAAGTAAACTTGTTCAATATTTAGTGTATGGAAATTAGGATTAGGATGCAAAATAAGTATAAATCATCCTCTAACACTTTAGCTCCCAAAATATCTCAATACATATACCTGTATTGCAAGATTGTTGCTGATTCTTGTACTTTATTCTGGTCAAAGGTTACAGGTTACTTGTCTGGAAACTTAGGGAAGAGTCTTCAGGTACAAGAGTCATGCTCTCTCCTGGAGGCTGACATATTGGTCTTTACCAAAAATTTGGAATACATACAAATATGGAAATGCGATGCGAAATGCGACATGCGAAACGAAAAAGGATTTAAGATGAAAATTCAATAGCACTTATAGAAAAGGGGAATATCATTCAGTAGAATAATTGTTTTGCCAAGACAAAGCCTTAGTAACCACAAGGCTGGATTTAGGGAACTTGAATTAGGTTGCACCACTGACAAGTTGATAAGAGCGGCACCAAAAAATATAGGTTATACCCTGGTTCAACAACTGTATCAAAGTTGAAAGAAGGATGCATGACCCAGCATAAATATTATATAAAGTGTCTGCGGATTAATTGTTTCCTGATTTTACGTTAATTAAAGATGTCTTGCTGTAAAACATAATAGCAACATTACACATTGAACATATTCTTGAATAACCCACAGTTTGCTGACGTTAAACGCATGAAAGCGCGTAAATAAGTAAAATCTCTGATGACTCTTTTGTTATTTTACATACATTAAACATGTATTACTGTAAAACATTGAACAATGAGCGCATGGTTTTGAACAACCAGGTTTTGTTACCTTAAGCCCAGGAAAGTATGACAAATGACACATAACACAGGGATTATTGATGGAGTGTGGTAATTAACGCTTAGGTGTATTTAAAAATGTGTTGGGTCAGACATATTTTTTTATGCATTTGCATGTTGGCACAAATATGGCTTTTGAATACTAGGTTCAGGGGTGGAAATAACCCATTGCCCGACGTCCGAGTCCAGTGTTTTTTCTGTCGGGCAAGCAAATTTGTATATCACACTGTACCGGTGTCCAGTTGACTTTCCAATGTTAATTATGTTGTTTATTTAAAAAATCACAAGAAAATGGCCGGTATAGTGGAAAATTTATCAGGGCAAGTGATTTTACATGTGCCATTGTACCGGAGTACACTAGCAATTTTAAAGTTATTTCCACCCCTGAGGTTGCACTGGTGCAATCTTTAAGTGGCTAAATCATGCCCTGAACTACATGGGTGTACTAGTTGCTGTTGGTACTTTGTGTCATCACAATGATTTCTACAGGAATTGTCCATGCAATATCAGGATCATGAAATCCCTGATTGACTATGCAGGAGGTGTTTCTGAGAAGCTGTGATTGTTGGGCAGATGTTATTTGTGTCCTTCAATGCCTGCTTGAGCTACATCAATAACTGATGGTTATGAATTATACAGCGAGCTGTCTGTGTGATCCTGTTTTGCGTTGATCACGTGACAGAGGGCTGACCGGTGTTGTTGATGAAACAGACAACATCATGGCTGGGTTGCCGGGGTTTCCAGGGAAGAATAAAGAGGTTCACCCATCTTTGCCCCATGGGAATTCAAAGTGACCTGTGAAGATCTGGGTTAGAATTGGTCTTCAGCAACCTATGTTTGTTGTAATAGGTGACGAATGTTGTCAGGTGGTCAGGCTCGCTGTAGTTGCTCACTGTCAACATATCCCAATTGCTTAGATTGATGCTCATGATCACTGGATCGTCCAGTCCAGACTCAGTAATGTACAGACAGCTGCCATGTGGCTGGAATATACTTGATTGTGGCAGTAAACAGCAACAAAAGAAAAATGTATAAATTAAATTAAATCATTCAAAGTGATTACAATTAGGAGATAAATGTTTGTCTACAGATGTGGGGATTTTATTGCGTGTTCAATGTTTGTAAAGTTTATATGGAACTGATGACATTAGCCAAAGGTTTAAAATGATAAAATTTCCAGTCTGTCATTTGCTGGAATGAGATAACAGCAGGAGACAATAGATGACATGACGTCACGTGATAAATGAACTCACCTGGTTAGCAGAATAGGAAGGGGGGGGGGGGGGGGGGGGGATTAAAATAGAATTTTATTGGATAAATATTGATCCAGCTTAATGCTTAGTTTATGTGTTATAACATGGTTTTTTTAAATTGAGAAAGAAATATAATCTTCAAGAAAGGTACTCATGTACTGTGACAAGTCTAGGATATTTCATGATTATTTGGAAATGGTACTGAAAATTTACAATCACTAGTTTTTGAAGTCTTGAAACGATCCTACTTCCATTTGTTTCCAGCAAGTTCACTGAATATCTTGTTGCAGTTTTTATAGCCATGTTTTTCTTCCACAGCTCCTGGGGCCGGTGATATTTGGCATCTTGCTGTGGTTTCGACTGGACTTCTGGTCCAATGAGTACCTGGAGGTGGACCAGGAGCTGTACCGCTACCTCATCCTTCTCTACATCTTCATCGTCGTTGGAGGCCTCATCGTCGGCTTCGCCATCCTTGGAATTGTAGCTGCAGTGCGAGCCATCAAATGGGCCATTGTGGTTGTGAGTATTACTTATGGCCTTATCTGGACAGGGAATACTGACCTGAACTAGGGTAAAAACAGTGTTGCATGGGACATTTTTCAATTGTTCATTAGCCTCGCCATGACGTCTTGGGCCAATATGACCGCCTCTGTGGTGTAGTGGTTAGAGCGTCCGCCCGGAGAGCGGAAGGTCGCGGGTTCGATCCCCAACCGCGTCATACCAAAAGACGTTAAAATATGGTACTTGTTAGTCCCTGCCTGGCACTCGGCATTAATGGGTACAACAAGGACTGGTCGGCTTGGAGTCAGTATAATGTGTCTGAGTGGGGTTTCATGACTGTCTAAGAGTGTAACAAACAAGCCCATTTATATTGAAAAGGGGAGACCAGAGATATTCATGCTTCACTGCGGCATGGTATCTCAGTGAGCTGGCACTATGAAACCAGCTTAAGTCTGGGCTAGTACAAGCAGCCGCACTTACACATACACACACATGCACATCGTCATATGAGCGAAATATTCTCAAGCACGACATTAAACCCAATTTCACCTCACCTCACCTTGGGCCAATAGCAAGAGGTCTGTACAATAGCATGGTGTCATGGGACAATTGCATGACATCATTGCACTTACAGAAGGGCATTGTCAAAATGCTGTTTCTTATGAGAATTTAGTGTTTGACATTTTTAGTGTATTTTTATCAATGTGAAAATCTGCAGCTGCCTGGTTAGTCATGTTGATGAGAAAAGTCTGTTACACAGTATGAATAGCCTTTATACTTTATATATAGTTCTTCAGCACTGAGTCAGTGTGCACATGGGATGTATTATAGCATTGAGTTAATGACCAAGTGGATATACAGTGTATTTATAGCATTGAGTTATGACCAAGTGGGATATACAGTGTATTTATAGCATTGAGTTATGACCAAGTGGATATACAGTGTATTTATAGCATTGAGTTAATGACCAAGTGGATATACAGTGTATTTATAGCATTGAGTTAATGACCAAGTGGGATATACAGTGTATTTATAGCATTGAGTTATGACCAAGTGGATATACAGTGTATTTATAGCATTGAGTTATGACCAAGTGGGATATACAGTGTATTTATAGCATTGAGTTATGACCAAGTGGGATATACAGTGTATTTATAGCATTGAGTTATGACCAAGCCGGGATATACAGTGTATTTATAGCATTGAGTTATGACCAAGTGGGATATACAGTGTATTTATAGCATTGAGTTATGACCAAGTGGGATATACAGTGTATTTATAGCATTGAGTTATGACCAAGTGGGATATACAGTGTATTTATAGCATTGAGTTATGACCAAGTGGGATATACAGTGTATTTATAGCATTGAGTTATGACCAAGTGGGATATACAGTGTATTTATAGCATTGAGTTATGACCAAGTGGGATATACAGTGTATTTATAGCATTGAGTTATGACCATGTGGGATATACAGTGTATTTATAGCATTGAGTTATGACCATGTGGGATATACAGTGTATTTATAGCATTGAGTTATGACCAAGTGGGATATACAGTGTATTTATAGCATTGAGTTATGACCAAGTGGGATATACAGTGTATTTATAGCATTGAGTTATGACCAAGTGGGATATACAGTGTATTTATAGCATTGAGTTATGACCAAGTGGGATATACAGTGTATTTATAGCATTGAGTTATGACCAAGTGGGATATACAGTGTATTTATAGCATTGAGTTATGACCAAGTGGGATATACAGTGTATTTATAGCATTGAGTTATGACCAAGTGGGATATACAGTGTATTTATAGCATTGAGTTATGACCATGTGGGATATATACAGTGTATTTATAGCATTGAGTTATGACCATGTGGGATATACAGTGTATTTATAGCATTGAGTTATGACCAAGTGGGATATACAGTGTATTTATAGCATTGAGTTATGACCAAGTGGGATATACAGTGTATTTATAGCATTGAGTTATGACCAAGTGGGATATACAGTGTATTTATAGCATTGAGTTAATGGCCGGGATATACAGTGTTATATACAGTGTATTCATAGCATTAGTTATAGCATTGAGTTATGACCATGTGGGATATACAGTGTATTTATAGCATTGAGTTAATGACCAAGTGGGATATACAGTGTATTTATAGCATGAGTTAATGAGCGAATGAGATCAATCATTAGTGGTTCAACTCGTTGAATATGGTGATTATAACAATGCATCTTAATCCATCATTATTCTAATATTTCGTTTCAGGTCTTTGAGTTATTTTGATGGTTGTTGAACTCAACCGAATGAAAGTGTATGGGCTATTCATTAGATAGTACTGTGGTGTATTGACAAATAAATTGTATTGCAATGTATTGAGATTCATGTTACGATGTATTGGGAGGTTAAGTGTTTGACACTGTGTGACACTGATTGTACAGATCCTATTTCTGCGTACCAAGGCCCTAAGATAAATGTTATGGTTCTGATAACAACAATCTCAAAATGGGTTTTCTTTTCTTTCTTTTATAGTATGTAAAGTATGTTGTTTTGTAAAATAATTACAGTGGGATACATTAGTTTTGAATTAAAGTCTGTGCAGATTTTTACTTCCAACATTAACCATATAGATCATCACAAAACTTCTTAAAGTGGTCAGGTATACCAATATATTATTTGGGATGACACTTTCTCAGTTTAGTGCAGAGTCTAGTACTTTTGTTAGGTTGAGTCCCATGCAGGTTTCGAACCCACACTCAGCACCTAATCCCCAGCAAACAAGTCTGCCATCTCACCCATGACAGTCGCCAAGTTGGTTAGATGGCTGACTTTCTGTTTTGGCAATTCCACTATGATGGAATATTAGGTGAATATTTACATATCACTGATTTCTCAATAATAAATACAAATATTGGGATAACTAATTTTATCTTGAACATCTGTAAGTCAGAAATTGATGTATTGAGTTGTTTTATATTCAGTGTTTCTCTAAGCTAATAGCAAAATATATTGTCCTTGACATCTGAATCCTAATATGTTGTAGTGGTACAGCGAATTTTGTATGAACTTACCATGAGGTGAATGACATATCATGACTCCAAATTACTAATCAGACTGAATTTACAGTTGTTAGTGTTGACTATTACCCATGTGACTATGGCTTTAACTTGATACATCCATTTTACACCATCTATTACCCTGCTTGGCTTGATAAATAATTCCCACAAATTCAAGCCAAAAACTCACAAGCCAAAAAACACACTCATCATTTTTTTAATTCATGAAGAAATATGGTTCAGTTTGCCAAACACGTGAGTGTATGGGAACTGACTAGTATTTATGATTGAGTAGCATTTTATGTTTCTATGGACCCGTGAAGATCCGGGGTAGAATAGGTCTTCAGCAACCCATGTGCTTGCCATAAAAGGCGACTATGCTTGTCATAAGAGGCGACTAAAGGGATCGGGTGGTCAGTTTCGCTGACTTGGTTGACACATGTCATCGGTTCCCAGTTGCGGAGATCGATGCTCATGCTGTTGATCACTGGATTGTCTGGTCCAAATTATTTACAGACCGCCGCCATATAGCTGGGATATTGCTGAGTGCGGCGTAAAACTAAACTCACTCACTCACTTATGTTTCTATGACAGGTATGATACAGGTGATACGATACTTTATCATATACCTATGAATAATATGGACCATTCTGCACATACAATACTGGCTGTCGGCATATGTCCATATTGACCTCCAGAGCCAAAAATCAGCCATATCAGCCCTATCAGTCCCAAAGGGCTGAAAATCCATATCAGCCGTATTGCCTGGCCACTAAACTGGTACAGAATGAATACACACAAACGCTCGAAACTTCAATAGACAGAGCCGAGTTTATTTTAGAGTTACGTCCCTTGATGTGGTATAGGATAAAAAGGTTATGATATGACAGTTTCCAGTTGGCCACTAAAACGATACAGTTTTAGGCAGATGGCAGATGCACACTTTGCATTGTTCATCGTCCAGAAATAGAAGTTAACCGTATGATCTGCCTCAGAGGAACCTGAGAGCTTTCCAAACACATTAAACTGATAAGTACTGAATCTGTTATATTGCCAAGACTGGATTTTTTTGTAAGGCCAGAAAATAAATGGCTCTTATTTGTCGGAGTTATATTTACAAATCGAAACCTTTTCTGATAAATATTTTTGCCATGTATTTGATGATGTCTTAAAATATCCAAACAGGTGATTGTTCCGGTATCTGTTCCGATTTACATCACCAGTGTTTGCTGTTGTAACCCATTCAGATCCAAGCCCAAACCAGCAGATATTGGATGTGAATTCATGTCTTAAATTCAGCCTTGAATGAATGCCACTGCTAACTGGCACTGTTTAAAAGAAATAAATAGCTTGTGATGCCCTGGCAAAACATTCTTTTACATTCCTGTGTAAAGAATTTAGTTCACTTGAATCCATTACTTCTAACAATAAATGTATGAATATGATTTGGTGAAAATGCACAGGATTAAATATGAATTTAAGAACATTGTCCCTACACATAACACAATGTGAAGCTTATAAGTTAACTTGTGATAAGCTTTTGGACAAAAAGTGTCTCCAATGACCTTGAATAAACATAACTGTGGCATCTTTAGCAATCTTCAAACGAGAACTGTTTATTATGGAGTTAGGGGTTTATTATAAATTGTTTGACTAAATATTACAGTGTCACAGCTTTCTTAACATTTGTATAATTGTTTACCACGATACAGTTAAGAGACAGTGAAGGCTTTTTCAGTATGACCCATACAAACCTGAGCAGCAGACGCCATATTTAGGGTGTTGACAGCAACCAAGAAAGTCTGTATATTATGCCAAAAAGTAAGGATCTGAAGATTTAGCAAAGGTTTAACAGCGACCTCAGTGTATTAATCTTTTTTTTTCAGTCTGTTCTTTTGTTCTTTCACCCCAAACAATCATACTGCCAAAATCAAATGGATGTCAAATGTAAAGGAATGTTAAATATGTGATATTTTTTTTATCAGAGGTTTTGGTGGTGGTTTGTACATATCCGCTAGTTTCAAACCTTCACAATATTAATAGAGTTTGAGCTTTAGATAATTCTCCTTTCTTTCCTGCTGAGACAATTATGTATTGGTGGCCAAAAACTCAAAGAAATTAGTCATTACGGAAAACCAAGCCAGGAAGCATTTTTCCTCTCGGTACCAAAAGTCAGATTATGTTTTCTTTTAAGAAGTCACAAAATTTTAGTCTCTTTAATATTGTAATTTTGCTTTTATTGCAACTTACAGTTGTGTATGTAATAAATATATTATGTCAAATGATATTTTGGAATCTTTGATTAAATGTTGAAGATGGTGGTTGGAATAGGGGAAAATATTACCGCAAATTTATTTCTATTTGCAATAACCTTTGAATATTTCAGAACAATCATTTAAATATGTTTACATGTCTACTGTACTTACTAATGTTTCATGCTTAGAAAACTGACAAAAGTGAGCTTTTGAAGACAATTGATAGCAAGATAAATTGGTTTGTCGTTCAGTTGTTAACAGAAACAAAAAAATATTCATGAAACCTAAATATTCTATAAAAATAGTTACTTTTTCGAAGAAATGTGTAATATAAGAGCTGTATTTTTAATCTTTGATCTTAGCTGAGGCAGTCCTAAAAGAATTATTTACATATTGGTTTAGAAGTTGGTCAGACAGTGCTTACTGGTGCAGGGTGCATACTATGGCTAATATTATAGTTATGTAAGTGAGTTGCCACTGGAATATTACATGCTGGTATGTTTTTGTACTTGTCGTGCATTTTATCACATAGCAGATTCTGAAATATTTTTTCACCCTTATAATCAATGTCTAAAATTGGTCTCCATGAAACAGTGTAGATATGATGTTCTTCTGATTACTGTGACATGTTTTACCATTAAATTAGTTACTTTTACTTTACTATTTTATTGTGAGATATTGACGACTGGATTTGAATTCTCAACTACATGCTGACATGATAGTGACTGTAGTGAAAGAACAATATTTTCTCTTATTCGCTAAGTTCCGATTGGCTTGAATCTGGAGGGGATTTGAAAATATGTATTGGGCCCTGCAGAAATTTACCATCACATTTCATGTATCAGCATAAAGGTAGATGGAGGACATAGTGTACACACTGTTTCACAAATCAGTTCTGATGGTTACAGAACCATGAAGATCAGGGTTAGAATTGATCTTCAGTAACCCATGCTTGTCGTAAGAGGCGACTAACGGGATCGGGTGGTCAGACCTGCTGACTTGGTTGACACATGTCATTGTATCCCAATTGCGTAGAGCAATGCTCATGATGTTGATCACTGGATTGTCTGGTCCAGATTTGATTATTTTATAGACTGCCACCATATAGCAGGAATATTGCTGAGTGAGGTGTAAAACTAAACTCACTCACTCACTCACTCTGATGTTTACACAAAGTATGTGATCTAGTCTAGGCATTGCCATACTTCCATTTTTTATTGTTGCGGTGGCTGAGTGGGTTAGATCACTGACTTTGTGTGGCGTGATTACTTACCTGAGACTGAGAGTGTGGTTCAAATCCAGGCTGTAACTCAACCTTCAAAAAGTACAAGAATCTGTACAGTACTAAGAAAGTGTGATCCCAGATGTAAAATCGGTTCAGATGGCTATCAAGAACTCATCAATGATTAGAATATTGTTTCATGCACACAACTGGCAAACTCTTGCATGTCATGCTTAAGGTCTTGGCTCAATTCAACAACCTGTGAAGCCTATTTCTTGTGTCCTTCACTGTGATGTTCCAGCAAATATTATTGAAAGCGATGTAAAAACACAGATTTACACCACTTGATGATCTTGTTTGTTCCGAACTGACAGGACTGTGAAACCCTGAGTTAGAATTGATGTTCAGCAATCCATGCTTGTGTAAGAGGTGACGGGATCAGGTGGTCCTTCTTGTTGTGTTAGTGGATGTCTTCGTATGCCAGGTACATAGATCAATGCTCATAACTCCAGACAGGATTATTTACAGCCCATCGTCATATAGCTGGAATAATGCTGAGCTGGGGCATTCAACAACAAATAAATAAAGAATGCTAAAATGTCCGCGTAATACCATATTTATGAAACGAGTGAATGGTTTGGTATCTAATGAGCGATACTAAACGATGTCCGTGTAATACCATATTTATGAAACGAGTGAATGGTTTGGTATCTAATGAGCGATACTAAACGATGTTCCGTGTAATACCATATTTATGAAACGAGTGAATGGTTTGGTATCTAATGAGGGATACTAAACAATGTCCAGCGTAATACCATATTTATGAAACGAGTGAATGGTTTGGTATCTAACGAGCCACAGTGAGTTAGATTCCAGTACCATTCACGAGTTTATGAAAGAAGTATTAGCATTGGGATGTCAACTGTAAACCACATTGACGTCATACGTATGGCATCACGCGATTTTATTACACAATGTGTAATAACATTGTAAAATTATTAAGCAGTGATATCTTCAATGGGTGAGTAATGAGTTTAGTTTACTCTGCTTTTTGCACTATTCTAGCAATATTACAGCGAGGGACACCAGTTATAGGTTAACACATTGTGGAGAATCGAACCCAGGACTTCAGCTTGATGAGCAAGCACTTTAACCACTACGCTACCCCATCACCCCCAAACAAACTTATTTACTCCTGATGTTGTCTTGCAGTTCATCGTGGCGATGGTCCTGGCTATCATCCTCACCGCAGCAGGAATGGCGTACGGAATTGTGTACCGAGAAGAGGTAATCGGGGAGAAGAAGACAAATCTGTTTTAGTTGTTGTCAAGATTCAGGAAGCAAAACAAAATGGAATTTCTGAAGTTTCATCCATGCCTGACTCGCTTCAGACCATTCTGTGTCATACATTTCCTTATCCATAAACAATATAAAGCCTGTGCCAAGAGGTACCAGCATGGTTCTAGCTTGGTTTTGATTCTTGTATATGTATTGTCAAAGACTAAGTTAACAGCACAAAGTACCAGTAAAGTACCCTGAAGTATCTTTCAAATATGTGAAGTTGTACTTCCATGAAGTTGGGGACAAGTTGTGCCATTATTATGGCAAAGGTCAATGATATTCCATGATGTACATAAAAATGTTTTAACTAGATGCATTATCTTTAATTTATTTAGATTTGAGTTACTGCTTTAACTGTTTAAACAATACTTATTGTTTATATCATTTGGTAACATATTTTGGGATGTGTTTTGTAGCTGGAAGAGACAATATCCCGGGGAACGTTGGTGAAACAGTTCATCCAGCAGCGTTACAAGGGCATCCGGTTTGACAGGGCCACCTATGTGATCGATCTCATGCAGTCGGAGGTAAGAGGGCTACAACCTGTCATATCCAGTAGTCCTGTGGGCAGTCAGGCTAACTAACTCCTGCTTGTGAAGAGGTGATACAATGGGTTGGGTGGTCAAGTAACATGGTTGTCTGCTTGTTATGTATCAGTGGCGTAGATCAGTGCTTATAATGCCAGTCATTGGATTGTCTGGTCCAGACTCGATTGTGTAGACTCCTGTCATAAATCTACAATATTGCCACATATTGAAAACCGAAATCCACCAGCCAAATGGCATTCAGGTCATTTTGAATGCACTGTTAAGCATCACTGTCTGAGTTAAGCTGACCCCCCAAATCTGAAAGGTGTAAAAATAGTTATTGCACTAAATGTGGACTTGCTGAAGACCAATTCTAATCCGGATCTTCATGGGTCTGACTGCAGTTAGCTTTTTAGGACGTGGTAAAGGCGTGATAAATTTGCATGTATAATACATACCTATTTACCATGGTTTTGATTTATTTGTGATTTTTTGTGACTTTTTGTAAAGGTCAACAACGCCAATGAACATAATGCACATGACAGTATTATCAAGTAAATTTAGGCTCTGTATTATTTGTTACACTGCTGTACTGAGTCTAACAAACCCTAGTAGGTCATGTCAGCTAACCTTTGAGCGACCTATGACCGTCCAATTAAATGCGAGACGGATGAATGGATTTAGTCATTCAGAAAATGGCTACTATTTTATTGTTCGACAGGACTTACAAAATGGTTTTTGGATTTTCTCTTACCCAGTCACTGACACTGATCTCTCAACAAACGAAAATCCACATAACAAACAGATATCTGACCTGCAGTATATACACTTAGGAGTTTCTGATGACATGGTTATTATTATCTTATATATGACGTCCTGGAATATTGACAAAGACGCTATTTTCAGTGACTGTTTTCTCACTGTTGTGAATAATGGTGTCCTCCGTGTGTATCACTCGGAAGCGATCGTGTGGAAAATAACATTCGGAATCGTTCGAGTACAAACGTTTTCAAGGTAAACTTTCAAACAGTATGTGTGAATGTTAACTTTTACGATTTGGTAAACTGTGTTCTGATTGGTCAATTCATAAGGTTAGCTGACACGACCATTTGCTAGGGTTTGTTAGACTCAATATAGCAGTGTAACAAATAGTACTGAGCCTAAGTTTACTTAGACTGCAGTATTATCATCGGTCTGGCTGGGAGATACGGTTTAATAATGACCTAATATTGAGCTTGTTGTTGATTCAGCTTAAGTGTTGTGGTGGTGAGTCTCCGCTTGACTACGGTGAGTCGACATGGCAAAAAGAAAAAGAAGCAGAACGGAATGGTCGGACACCCTTGTCCTGTTGTAAAGATTATGAACGCTACCAGAACAGTGAAGACCGATTCACACAGACTTGCACCATCTTCCAGCAGCCCAGTAATGTGGAAAATGTGTACAATCCTAACATCAATAGAAAGGTAGAAATGCTTTAAAAACCCTTGAAAAAGTTGGTTCTTTGCAGCATCCTTCTTGCTCTCATCATAAGATAAGGCTAAAGGAATTGTCTGATATTTGATTACAGGGAAATGTATATTTGTTTGAGTGTATTTTAACTTTGAAGATGATAACAATCTACTAATGGCTTTGGATTTTAATAGGATGTGATTTTAAGTGTGAATTTATATACAAAATTTACAGGGTTTCTCCTGCTGTTTGACAGAGGAGGCGAGGGATAGGGGTCCTGCTACTTTGCTACTGTCCTTGCTACTTTGACAATATGAAAGGGAGATAACTGGAGTATATGAAATTTTGAGTTTTCTTTAATGGGTTTTAGAGGAGACATTTAAGGCCTGACTCAGTGCTTATTTGTGTTTATGGTATATAAACATAGAACCTGTGAGCATATTGGGTAAATCTCACAGTTTGCAAGCTTGTTTGTACGTTTATAAGTGCTTAAACCGGACAAAACCGGAGAAGATCACTGACATTTTTAGCACATTTTTAGTGTCAGGAAACAGTCGTCCATTAGTTGGCATTTTTCAGCAGTTTCTGAAAACAAATGAAACAGAAAACAATTCTTGGTTTGCCAATCAAATGACCCCAAATTCCTTATAATGTATTCATTGTATTTAACATTAAAATGAGCACTGCTTGAAAAAAATGATTTACAAATGTTTTATGGGTTTGTCTGGTCCAGACTTAATTATTTACAGGTAGATTGATATAGTCACAGGGTAGTTGACTGCCATGGGAAACTCTATGTTCTCTCACTCAACAGTTCACTTGTACTTACAGGGTTGTGGCAAAGCTCTCTCAACTTTCTTCTCCGATCACATCTATGTTGTGGTTGGGATTGGCATAGCAACGTTTGTTATTGAGGTAAGCAATTGTTTTGATAATTATACATGTTTTCAAACTTACCTGCACAGTTTAAGACATGATTTCATAGTTATAATAATAATAAACAACTCTCTGAAATATTTTTTGTAGCTGACAGCAGCTTAACTGTATCTGAACTGTACATTTCTATGTCTTTTGTCAGCTCTGTATCCACTTAAACTTTATAGTTCTATACCTGTTGTCTGCTCTATATCTACCGTTATCTCCACAGTTCCATACCTGTTATCTGCTCTATATCTACCACTGTTATCTGCTCTATATCTACCGTTATCTCCACAGTTCTATACCTGTTATCTGCTCTATATCTACCGTTATCTCCACAGTTCCATACCTGTTATCTGCTCTATATCTACTGGTATCTCCACAGTTCCATACCTGTTATCTGCTCTACATCTATATCTATATCTACCTGTTATCTGCTCCACAGTTCCATACCTGTTATCTGCTCTATATCTACTATTATCTCCCTACACAGTTCCATACCTGTTATCTGCTCTATATCTACCATTATCTCCCTGTTAGTTCTCCATACCTGTTATCTGCTCTATATCTACTATTATCTCCACAGTTCCATACCTGTTATCTGCTCTATATCTACTATTATCTCCACAGTTCCATACCTGTTATCTGCTCTATATCCACTATTATCTCCACAGTTCCATACCTGTTATCTGCTCTATATCTACCGTTATCTCCACAGTTCCATACCTGTTATCTGCTCTATATCTACTACCTGTATCTCCACAGTTCCATACCTGTTATCTGCTCTATATCTACTATTATCTCCACAGTTCCATACCTGTTATCTGCTCTATATCTACTCTACCATATTATCTCCACAGTTCCATACCTGTTATTATCATCTACTACCGTCTTCCACAGTTCCATACCTGTTATCTGCTCTATATCTACCATTATCTCTCAGTTCCATACCTGTTATCTGCTCTATATTATTATCCCACAGTTCCATATCCTGTTATCTATCTCCACAGTTCCATATATCTGCTCTATATCTACTGTTATCTCCACAGTTCCATACCTGTTACCTGTTATCTGCTCTATATCTACTGCTCTATATCCACAGTTCCTGTTATCTGCTCTATATCCACCACAGTTATCCCCACAGTTCCATACCTGTTATCTGCTCTCATATCTACCACCGTTATCTCCACAGTTCCATACCTGTTATCTGCTCTATATCTACTATTATCTCCACAGTTCCATACCTGTTATCTGCTCTATATCTACCGTTATCTCCACAGTTCCATACCTGTTATCTGCTCTATATCTACCAGTTCCATACCTGTTATCTGCTCTATATCTACTATTATCTCCACAGTTCCATACCTGTTATCTGCTCTATATCTACCATTATCTCCACAGTTCCATACCTGTTATCTGCTCTATATCTACTATTATCTCCACAGTTCCATACCTGTTATCTGCTCTATATCTACCATTATCTCCACAGTTCCATACCTGTTATCTGCTCTATATCTACTATTATCTCCACAGTTCCATACCTGTTATCTGCTCTATATCTACTATTATCTCCACAGTTCCATACCTGTTATCTGCTATCTACTATATCTCCACAGTTATCCTCCACAGTTCTATACCTGTTATCTGCTCTATATCTACCGTTATCTCCACAGTTCTATACCTGTTATCAGCTCTATATCTACTGTTATCTCCACAGTTCCATACCTGTTATCAGCTCTATATCTACCGTTATCTCCACAGTTCCATACCTGTCATCAGCTCTATATCTACCATTATCTCCATCATTCGAGATGTGTTATAAACTCTATATCTACCATTATCTCCTTGTGCTATGTGTCATAAAGTCTATATCTATCATTATCTCCACAGTTCTATACCCGTCATCAGCTCTATATCTACCATTATCTCCACAGTTCTATACCTGTTGTAAGCTCTATATCTACCATTATCTCCACAGGTTGTGACCCTGATCTTAATCTCCATCCTGCTGAAGGTGCTCAACAGTCTGTACATACCCCAGCCGGAGGAGATCGTGTACGACATGGCCCACAACCAGGAGAAGTCCCCCTACCCGTCGCGCGGCGACTACCGTGACTACTACAGATAGACCACCCCAAACACCCCATCACATCACACCCGCCATTGGATCACACTGTATCAGTCATCTACAACCCAGCAACCCACACATAATGTTTGGCTGGGGATGAACATTGTTTGGGAGTATTTCTCAAAAAAAAGTCCTCATCCTAGCATTGTCAAATTTTTGTGAGTTGAATATATGTTTGGGAAATAATTACGATAAAGTTCTTAAACAGGATCCCATTGGACTTGCCACCTTGCCAACCCTGAACATTTTCATATCATTTGAAATTAGAATTTGTAGAAGTATCAGAAGTATCCTAACAATCAATTTTGGAGAGATTATTGAGGAGTTGTTTCATTACTTGATGACAGCTTATCTTTGAATTATTCTTCAAAGGAAACAATGGCACCAAGTATTAAAGTGATCCTTTGATTTTTGTGTAGCTTTGTCAGCTTTAGCTTTATGGTCCTGCTCAGATCATTAGCTTTGCTGATGTTGGGAAACAAACCCAGAAAAACATCCATTTGGTGTGAAATGTATCAATTTTGATGTTCTAAAATGAAAATACCATGCAGTACGAGAGTAATATATGCACCTAGTTTGTTCAATGTTTGCTGGTCATACATGAAGAATATCCATTGAGGTTGATCCTGGTGTTACTCATGCTCAGTTAGGGCTCATATACTTTCTTTATTGCAGCCCTGATAATGTATATATGTCATCCAGCATGCGCTGTAGATTTGGATTAGTTTTGATAAAGGAAGGAAAAAGATTTGTGCAAGACATGTGATCTTGACAACATGATCTTGACAGTGTGATCTTGACAACATGATCTTGACAGTGTGATCTTGACAACATGATCTTGACAATGTGATCTTGACAACATGATCTTGACAGTGTGATCTTGACAACATGATCTTGACAATGTGATCTTGACAACATGATCTTGACAGTGTGATCTTGACAACATGATCTTGACAGTGTGATCTTGACAACATGATCTTGACAGTGTGATCTTGACAACATGATCTTGACAGTGTGATCTTGACAACATGATCTTGACAATGTGATCTTGACAACATGATCTTGACAGTGTGATCTTGACAACATGATCTTGACAATGTGATCTTGACAACATGATCTTGACAATGTGATCTTGACAACATGATCTTGACAGTGTGATCTTGACAACATGATCTTGACAATGTGATCTTGACAACATGATCTTGAAGTGTGATCTTGACAACATGATCTTGACAGTGTGATCTTGACAACATGATCTTGACAATGTGATCTTGACAACATGATCTTGACAGTGTGATCTTGACAACATGATCTTGACAATGTGATCTTGACAACATGATCTTGACAGTGTGATCTTGACAACATGATCTTGACAGTGTGATCTTGACAACATGATCTTGACAATGTGATCTTGACAACATGATCTTGACAATGTGATCTTGACAACATGATCTTGACAATGTGATCTTGACAACATGATCTTGACAGTGTGATCTTGACAACATGATCTTGACAATGTGATCTTGACAACATGATCTTGACAATGTGATCTTGACAACATGATCTTGACAGTGTGATCTTGACAACATGATCTTGACAATGTGATCTTGACAACATGATCTTGACAGTGTGATCTTGACAACATGATCTTGACAATGTGATCTTGACAACATGATCTTGACAACGTGATCTTGACAACGTGATCTTGACAATGTTGATGAACTGGTACTTGCAGAATCTCTGTACTACATGTACTGTGTGGATGTTGTTTGTTCTTGGTAAGGGCCACCTTTTCTATTCTTCTGGCCCCAAATTTTAATAATCCTGAAGTTTTAACACTCTCTTCTTACAATCATTCTGCAAATTAAATTAATTATTCTCTCTTAGAAATATTGATAAGCTCTGTGCTGGATATTTTATTCATTATGATACAATGTTTTTAGTTTCTACATGAAAAAATGGAGGCTGTATTGAGTACATTGTATTGTGATGGGTTCAGGAATGTCAGCTGTGTAACTATTAACTGTTTACTGCTCTCTGGGTGTCAATATATAAAATTTTCTGTCTCAAAAGTGTGTTCAAGTGAAGCCATTATTCAAATAATGAGCAAGTTTATGCAAATTATGCTCTTCGTCTACAGAGCACCCTTTCTATTGCTTTTGAAAGGCGATATGGCTGCAATATTGCCGATGTGACGTTAAATCTTAACTCACTCACTTTTGAAAGGTGCGGTTGGGTAGCCTAGTGGTTAAAGCATCCCCACGTAATGACGAAGACCCTGGGTTCGATTCTCTGTATGGGTACAAGGTGTGAAGCCCATTTTTAGTGTCCCCTGCCGTGATATTGCTGAAATATTACAAAAAGCGGCATAGAACTAAACTCCCTCACTCATATACACTACTGTTGTACATTTTAAGCAGAGTAAAACCAGTGACATTTTGTCTTGCCTACCACCAGATGCTTTTTATTTGTGATAATTTGGATTTCTTTTACTCCTCTGTGTTACCCTTTAAGAATTGATTATAAAACGAATTAAATGAGAGCTGTTTCTTATCGGTTTTATCATCTTATATTAATTAGTTGAGACAAATATTTTGAAAAAGATATTCAAAATGTACATGTCCTTCGGCAGTTGAAGGACATGATTTATCCATTGTTGTTTTTTACTTGATTTTAATTGCAACATCTTTGGTTTCTCAGACAATGCTTAGTGAAGTTTAAGCTAGGGTTTTGTACCAAAATGTATGCTCAGGTAAGAATGTTTCCAGTTTTGAATACACTTTTCAGATTTTGAAAGTGTTTTGTGAATACAAAGTTCCATTTTCTGCTTAAAATATGAGCAATAATTTTAGTTCTCAGAAACAAAATGAGGCCAATCATGCAAAAGATAGGTTATTTGTTATAGCTTTTAGTTCCAAACTCAAGTAGAGAAATGCTTGAAGATCAGTGTTGAACTGGTTTCATGCAATTTGACAACAAAATTGATTTTATTTCAATTTTACTTTACAAATTCATTAATATTTTTATGTTGTGTTTTTAGACAGTAATAGTTGTTATCATTCTTTTATCATCAACTAGTTTCTATATTATGTTCAGTCATACACTGAAACAAAAATACCAGTGAATACCATTGTGAAATTTAATGGTGACTAAATGAAAGAACTAGCTCTCTGTAACTCATTCCTTGGGAGTCGAAAAATTATGGAAATCCAAACATCATGATGTGCAAATGTTGAAATTGTTAAATTTGTTGAATCTGGATCGATTGAATCCTGCCCACATCAACAGACAGGTGTCATGTGATCGATCATGTGATCGATCATGTGACGATGTTGATTGTCAAGGGGAAGCAACTGTTGTGATCATGAAGACAAGATGGAGGCTGCTGTTAGCATCAGGGACTGACACGCCATTGTAGACAACGACATTCATTGTTCTGAAGATAATCATTTTTAATTGTTCATTTAATCCTGAAATGGTAATTCTGGTTTTGTTGGTAGGCAGTATACTGAATATTAAACATTCGCCTGTGACACCAAAGACCTGGGTGATGTTGTACAAATCAACCTTAGAGCTACTGTCGACTGTCGTAAGCTTATCTTGAGAGTTACAATCACCTGGACAGTAAGATTGCTTTGTACAACAATACTCAGGGTTGTATTCTCAACATCTGATCATGGAGTGGAGCCTGTTGTTGTTGCTAGGGGTGGGTATTGCAGGGAAGTTTCATATTGCGATGTATTGCGATGCGAAAGCATGTATTAACAATATGTATTGCAATATATTGCAAGAAGGTTTTTTTAACCAAAAAATTACTTATAATCGTGTTAATGCTTGATTTATAAAGCAAAAACACAACAAAATCACAATGCTTGATTAGGCTTTAATAAAAACTTTTAATCATGGAGTGGAGCCTGTTGTTGCCTTTGTGATTGGTTTGGAGTATACCAAGAGCAAAACTGAAGGAAAGATTTACCCTCTAAAGCCTGCTTCAAACTTTGCCTGGGTTAGAGCTGTCTAACCTTACATAAATGATTTATTTAATACTCTAAGTCATACTCGTGTCTTGATTGTTAATATGTCTGAGGCAGGTGTTTTTTGGGTAATCTCTGTGCATTGTATGAATTCAAAAGTGACTGTCCACTCCATTCTCAGTTGTCTGGGATTTGTGTCATGGATAATTCTTTTGGTCAGTTGGTACATTTTCATCTGTTAACAGTTATTTGCTAACCAGCAACACCTTGCTTCAAGACATCCTGTGAAGCAATATATTATATTTGTAAACCTTGCAGCAATTCTGTTTCCTGTGTCCGTTAAATTAAAATATATCTATTATAAATCCAGCAACAGACACCCTTTCAAGAAAATCAAATAGTTGTGAAAAACCACAATTTTTCTTATGTGCAGGGCGGTGGGGTAGCCTAATGGTTAAAGCGTCGGCTCGTCACGCTGACGACCCGGGTTCGAATCCCCACATGGGCACAATGTGTGAAGCCCATTTATGATATTGCTGGAATATTGCTAAAAGCGGCGTAAAACCCAACTCACTCACTAACTCTGATGTGCAACATGGAATAGTGCTATGCTGGATTCAACAAACTTGAAACAGAAATGTGGCAGGTTTCTAATTTCTTGTGTAGTTTCTTTCTGCATGATAAGCTGTCTTCTGGTAGAGGGTAGCTTGTAAATCACATAAGCTGTGTTCTGGGAAGGGGTGTCTTTTGAAACATGAAATAAGCTGTATTCTGGTAAGGGGTGACGTGTTTGGTCTCCATTTGCAGATTCATTACTTGAAGCAGGGTTTGTGCAATGCTTTTTCCGTGTCATATGTGCTTGCTACATCTCACAACACAGGGCAGATTGTATCATTTCTGTCATTAAGATTTCATTCTTCAATATTGATAAATCAAGACATCCAAACGTATCCATGCAGTAATGATATTTTTGCTTTTTGTTTTTGATAAAACTACTATTTCTATGATTTTAAACAGACCTTGGCAGTGACAGCAGAAAATGTTTCTCATTGGCAGCCCTTTATCTGAAGTGACAAGACAAGGACATTTATGTCCTTTTTCCTAAGTAGGAAATAAAGTAACCCAAACTCATCAACAATGGCGCCATATGAATAATGATAACTTTTCTTTTGATTTAAGAATCTGGTTCGTGATCCACAAAGCGTTTGTAACATTATGACCTGTCGTAACTCTATAGTTTATCGTAAACTTACAAATGTCGTAGCGCTACAAACCATAGTTGGATTCGGACCCTGGACAGTTATGTTGAAAACAATAATTCTTCATCACCATGTTGATCATGACTGCACAATGATGAGAAACATTTTACTGTTCCTAGGCGTAGATCTGTAGATCACTTGACATTAATTCTGAGGTAAAACATAGAAATAGTTAGTTTTATTAATGTAATATGTCCTGTGTGTCATTGATGGCAGTGCAAGATTTGTACTTTTGATACACTAACCATGATATCGTGTACATTTTATATATGTCAATCAAATTGTATTTTCGATTGCTCAGCTTTCTTTTATATATGCTCTAGTAGTAATGGCTGATCCATTTGGAATTGTGTTGTCCAAGGGAGGCAACTCTAATTCCATGCTATGATTGCTCATGTAGAGAGCCAGATATATGCTGAACAGTTCTATTTGTGTATATTGAATAATTGGATCATTTTGTTCATATATGTAGCTTTTTGAGGCATTAGTTGAAATAACAAATTTTTATTGTGGTGCTTTGATATCATGGCCAAAAGTGTTGATTACTTTCCAAGCTCATTATGGCCCACATCGAATCAGCATTTAAAGTTTCACGTGATCTTGCTTCACATTACACAAGATTTTAAGATTTCTCACTAA